TAGACTCACTAAAAGTCTAACCCTGCAGGGGTGAAGGACCAATTAAAATGTTCTGCCCCAGGAGTCTTATGAGTTCGGATGGATTCCTGACAGCTCTTGGGGATTATCTGGTTGCCTTTGCAGACGATTCTGTTGAAGTTCTGGCTGATCTCTGGAATAGGGAAATAGCCAGGGAGGTGGACACAATCCTCCTGAACGTCCCCTCTCAAGGAGAAGAGCCAAACTAACCCCTTGGTTTTCCAAGGAGTTGACAGAGATGAAGCCAGTGAGATGATTCTAGAGTGATGTTGGCGGAGAACTCTGACCAAGCATGGGCTACAGCATATTTGAAAGCCTACTCCACAGCAATGGAGGCACCAGAAAAATAGTTTATTGCTACCACCATCTGCAAATAACTGCCCAACTAAGTTGTTTCAAGTGGTCAGAGGGTTATTACATACTGGTCCTTAAGGAGAAAATTCTAACAATTCAACAGCCCGCTGTGAAGAATTTGCACTGCACTTTGCAGATAAAGCCATTTCGATCAGCTCCAACTTGGATGCTGTTATTGATACAGTTCCAACTTTTATAACTCTGGCTCCTTCTTGTTCAGTGTTGATGGATAGCTATCAATTTGTTCAGCCTGTGGATGTGGACAGGATCCTTGGAGAGGTGACAGCTATCACATGTATTCTAGATCCTTGCCCTTCCTGGCTGTTTAAACAGGCCAGAGGGGGACAGGCAGAGTGGGTTGAGGTGGTGGTCAATGCCTCCTTGGAATAAGGCAAAGTTTCAACTTGCCTTAAGGAGGCAGTTGTGAGACCTATATTTTAAAAGCGATCCCCGAATCCTTCCATATCAGTCAATGTCTAACCTTCCCCTTTTGACCAAGGTTCTGGTGCACATGTTCGCTTCCCAACCCCAGGGATTTTTGGATGAAATTGATTATCTAGATTCCTTTCAATCTGGTTTCAGATCTGGCTATGGAACAGGGATAGTTTTGATTACCTTGGTGGATTACTTCTGCAGAGAGTTAGATGGGGGAGTGTGTCCCTGTTGGTTCTTCTGAACCTCTTTGCAGCTTTCAATACCATTGATCATGGTATCCTTCTGGGTTATCTCACTGGAATGGAACCAGAATGCACTGTCTTACAGTGGCGCCAGTCCTTCCTGGAAGGCCGTACCCAGAAGGTGGTGTGGTGGGACTACTGTTCGAACCCCTGGCCATTGTCCTGTGGGATTTCTCGGGGATCTGTTTTGTCCCTCATGTTGTTTAACATATACATAAAACTGCTGGGAGAGGTCATTCGAAGTTATATACAGATGACAGCTCACTCTACTACCCTTTCCCATCTAAAACCAAGGAAGCTGTCCTGACCCTAGTTCAGCATCATCAGTAATGGTTTGGATGAGGGCAAACAAATTGAAACTTAATCCAGACAAGACAGAGGTGCTCCTGGTCTGTTGGAAGGCAGATCAGGGAATAGGGATCCAGCCTGTGCTGGATGGGGCCACAATTCCCCTGAAGACATAGGTCCCCAGGTGGGGGGTCCTCCTGGACTTGGAGGCCCAGGTATCTGCGGTGGCCAGAAGGATCTTTGCACAGTTAAAACTTGTGTGCTAACTGTGCTTATTCCTTGAGAAGCCGGATTTGGCCATGGTGGTACATGCCTTAGTTACAACCCATTTGGATTGCTGTAATGCGCTCTATGTGGGGCCGCTTCTGAAGAGTGCTTGGAAACTTCAGCTGGTCCAAAGAACTGCAGCCAGGTTGCTAACTGGGGCTGGCTACAAGAAGCAGACAACCCTCCTGTTGCAACAGCTCCACTGGCTACCAGTTTGTTTCTGGCCACAATTCAAAGTGCTGGTTACGACCTTTAAAGTCTTAAATGGCTCAGATCCAGGCAATTTGGCTGACAGCATCCTCTTGTACAAACCTGCCTGAGATCTTCAGGAGGAGCCCTTCTGTCGGTCCCACCTCCATCTCAAGCTTGGTTGGTGGGAACGAAAGAGCAGGACTTCTCGGTGGCTATCCTTTGACTCTGGAACTCCTTGCTCAAAGAAGCCAGAATGATCTTCTGGCGGCATGCTAAAACCTTTTTATTCAGGCAGACTTTGAAAGAAGAGGGGTTTTGAAGATCAAGTCAGGGGGTGCTGTGGGTTTTAGCTCTGAATATGCTTTTATGGATTTTAACTGTGAATCTTTTAATACCATTGATCTTTACTTCTGTTTTAATGTTTGTATATTTGTAGATTTTAAATTTTATTGAAATGATTTTAATGTAAGCCACTTTGAATCTCCTTGTGGAGAGAAAAAGAGGGATATAAATAATAATAATGTTTATATGGCTTTTAAATTTGTATTTTAATGTATATATATTTTTTGCATTTGTTTATTGATATGACATCAAATTGTTGCCTTTTGTAAGGCTGCTCTGAATCCCCTTTGGGGTGAAAAGAGTGGGATTTAAATACATTAAATAAATAAATTGGCCCCAGGTTGCTGCAGTGCTTGTTTCTGAAACTGAAATTTGGCAAGGTATGCAAAGTCAGCCTTCCACATTTGTGAGTTTAGCTTTTGCAGATTGGATTATTCATGGATTTGGTAAATATTGACTGAAGTTGAGTGTAGAGTTGTACTGAAAGACTTAGAAATTCCTATAGAGGTGTTCTCTCATGCCACATCTACACTGCCATATAATCCAGTTTCTGATCCCAGGTTATCTGTTTTCAACTGGATTATATGGCAGTGTAGACTCATATAATTCAGTCCAAAGCAGGCAATCTGGGTTCAGAAACTGGATTAGATGGCAGTGTAGTTCCAGCCTCAGGGGAGTGTTTTTCAGTGTTTTTTTCCACTTTTATAGGAGTACTTTACCTCTAACTCCAGTGAATGTGGAGGGCATATGTATATGCACCCCCTTAACCCATGGTAGCCCTTCCATTGCCTCCCATTTCACAGCTCCATCCCATACATGCTGTGAAAGCTTTTTGTTCCACAATATTTCAAACAGTAAACATCCATGTGGAAATCTTAGGGGCAAACCCCCTTTCGGAGATGGGATTGCAGTATAGAGGAAATAATTTTGAACAAAGAAATGTTAGGCTTGGAGAGTCACCCCTTGACCCTGGTTGCTTTTCTACACTGTATTTTCCCTTCAGATGATGGATCGTGGGAGTTTTGGTGCAGTTTGAAATACTCTGTCCTTCAATAGAGGAAGGCATGAATTGTTTATGAGCTAATTCACAGCCTTAACAGGATGTGCATTCTTTACAGTGTTTGTGGTAAATGCTGAAGCTGCGCAAAGGAAGTCATGCTGAAGTGGTTCTCCATTGAGACTTCTGGTGACATCTCTCAGGTCACCTGAAGATGTGAAAAGTTGCTCAATATTGTGGTGATCCCTAAAGTTCACAATGGAGCAATCATGAAACCGTTTCCACATTCATCTCAACTAATTCACATCCTCAAACCATGATTCACTTTATCTCAAGGCCTGTACTTCAGAGAGAGCAAGACAACCCCATATCCTTAGGGGATGATTTTGAAGACCCCTTGCAGATACCTGATGCCATGGATAAGAGCAAACCCTATAAATGTATATTATAAGTATCTCGTATAATTGCACTACAGAACCTAGGGAGGCTCACAAACACTTTCAGGGAAACTGGGTTGTTTTGAAATTTTTGGGCTGTATGGCCATGTTCCAGAAGCATTCTCTCCTGGTGTTTCACCCACATCTGTGGCAGGCATCTCCATAGGTTGTGAGGTCTGTTGGAAACTAGGAAAACGGGGTTTACATATCTGTGGAATGTCCCGGGTGGGAGAAAGAACCAAATGTAAATGAAACTGTGGCTATCAAATCCATAAAATGATTGTATTGTTCTTCTTGAAACATGTCGTCTAAGGCCCACAACACCAGTCTACCAAACTCTTTTTGAAGTCTATTAGGGAGCAAATCCATATGACAAACGCTGCTGCAAAATTAGTAGAGTTTTGCTAGAATATGGGATGTTTTGAGTCAGTGTTCAAAACAATGGAAAAAGCTTAAAGAAGTTAATGGAAGTCACAAGACAAACTGTGTGGCTACAGAACTCTGATTCCCATTAATTTTCGCATTTCTCGAAAACACATACTGATTAACTGCCTGCTTTTGAAAGTATTTCCATCGGCAGGGGCTACAGTTGAGGGAAATTACACCATGATGCCTTTAATGCTACACTTTCCTAAAAAATAAACAGAGGGTTGTTTTCCTTCAGGGGTTATATTTGTTTCCAATGCTGGTGGGGGGGGGGGTCACTGAAAGGTTTATTTTGTTTTTAGTTGGGAATCACAATGGCACTGCTGGACACAGACATATTGGTTTTGTTTGTTTATTTTGCAGAAAAGAAAGTTTGTCACTTCAGAACAAATGTTCCACCACAGATAAACATGTTTTCTGGCTCTGGGTGTTTGGATATTATAGAATACCTTTCATTCTCCACTCGCAAACACTCCTTTGGACATAAGGTATTGTACTGTATTATCCCCTCAAATACATTTTAGTTCCAAAGGCTGTCATTTAATATCTCAGAATTCACTCTGAAGGTTAAGTATAACATGTAGTTTAGTTCACTTGTGCTGAACTCAGAACTTGCAACTATGGTCCCATCTAAACTCATATTATCTAGTTTCTGAATCTAAATTGTCTGCTTTGAACTGGATTATAGGGCAGCATAGACTCTTATAATCCAGTTCAAAGCAGATAATCTGGATTCAGAAATTGGATTATATGGCATTATAGATCCAACCTATAATTCTTTCATTTTAAAGTAAACTTGAATATTACCAAAAAGCAACAATTTCGATTTTTTCACATGTATTATATACTTAATTCTCTCTCAAAACACTCTGAAGCCTTAAGATATTTTCTGTCTAAATATAAACCTGTCTTAAAAGCTACTCTCATGTATGGCATTGCGTCTAGATCAACCGAGAGACAGAAAGTGACTGAATTATCTATCAATGTGGTTGTAGCACTTACCCCCTGAGCGTTTGTGGTATGCTGTGCTTTGTGGATGGATGCTCAGTGGTTTCTCAGCAAGGTTCTTAAAATGGATGACAAGGGTGTCTCCCACTTCAGCTCGTAGTGTTGGCCCCATAAGACCTAACCCCACAAATAAAAAAGTTATTTAAAAAATAATCTCTTTATATAAAAGTCAAAATATGTGCAGCATGTGTATATACGTGTGTGTGTATATATATACATAGAGAGAGAGTAGAGTCTCTCTTATCCAACATAAATGAGCCGGCAGAACGTTGGATATGCAAAAATATTGGATAATAAGGAGGGATTAAGAAAAAGCCTATTAAACGTTAATTTACGTTATGATTTTACAAATTAAGCACCAAAACATGTTTTACAACGAATTGACAGAAGAAACAGTTCTATACATGTAGTAATTACAGTATTTATGAATTTAGCAGCAAAACATCACAATGTATTGAAACAGCTGTGGATCTGGGCAGGAGGCAGACTGTGTTGATGGATGGATGGATGGATGGATGGATGGATGGATGGATGGATAGATATTCCACAAAGGCTCCTACATGGCTTGATAAAGCTGGACCAGATTTGGCACAAATACACACCACAACCAACTTAAAAGACTGATTGTGGGGGGGGGGGGGGGGGGGGGGGTGAGGAGATATTGACAGTGAACATAGTCCACTCACATCTGAACAGCTGTGACTGAGGGCATGGCTCTGGACCAAACTTAATAGACATGCCCTTAATGATCCAATTTTAGATATGAGTGGGCTTCAGACCATGGTAGAGGATGATGGGAATTGTAGTTCATCCATATCCAGAGAGCCAAATTATTCCCACCCACGACTAAAGGTGTAGCCCACCTCCAAACCAGTCAGATGGCTCAGATGGAAATTATGGGAGTTTTGGTCCAAGAAGAAATCTGGAACTTCCTTAAGATCTCATCTGACTGGCTGCCACTCCAATGAGCCCCAGATCTGGCTGGGCTACAACTTGTAACTGAAACTGCATCATATGATACTTTAAATTGTATGGACATTAATTATTATTTTAGTAATTAATTTAATTAGTAATTAATTGAACCCAACTATTCAAACATACACTCCTGAACTCTGGATAACAGTGTAATGTGTTAGTAATTGCAAAGCACAGCCACTGGCTTTCTACAAACCTAGGAAATTCTAGAACAATGTAGAAGTGAAAAGAGGAAACCACAACCCAATTTCTTTAGTAATATACAAATGAACCTTTAAGAAAGGCACACATAGAGCAACAGCAAGACCTGACTATTGAACATTTTGGCTAGTTATGTTTCCATGCATATAATATTATGACAAAGATAATTTGTCTGAATTTATTAAACGCATTCCAACAAAGTACAAGTAAACAGATTTGGTTATCTGTGACACTGATAATTTTAAAAATTTGCAGTTTCTCAAGCCACTCCTGACACGAAAAACAAAACAAAACACTTTCACAGTCAATCCACCATCCTGAAACAAAGTAATGCAGGCTACCTACATAGTGTTCAACATTACTCAAATGAAAACTAGGACACAATGTGTGCAGGCACCATCAGACTGTAGTTAAAATATCAAGTACTATTAATGAGGAAGAACACACAAGTTTGGAGAGGCCACAGCTGTTTGCTTTTGCCTAAGCCAACTGGGAAAGGCAAAATTAACACCTCTCCAAGTTAATTAAGTGGAAACTATTTTTGCAGTAAATGAGTAAACTACATTACTACAGTAAATGGAGGAGAAAGGGGGAAAGTGGTGGAGGAGGGGAAATGTATATTTTAAAAGTAGCTGCAAAGGTAGGGAGAAAATGGATTAATCAGAATTTCTTAAGAACAGAGAGACTACATTATGAAAATGATGGCATTGAAGTCTGAAAATATTGTTGTGCTTACCTGACAGAGCACTTCTTGGCTTTTCTTTTTTGAAATCTGCTTCATATTCTGTGTAAATAATTTTCTTAAACAAGGTATCTGAACCTGATGCTCTAAAATGAAAAGGGTAGTTTAAACTTTCTATACAAAACCCATACAGGAGAGAAACAGATTTAGGACTTCATCAGACGGATCAGGGAGGAATGAGGGAAAGTGGGGGGAACCATCTTACCCTGTTCCCTCCTATATTTCTCCCTCTTTTGGGATGGCCAGCTACCCCATGACCTTACCATGTTGTGCCAGTCTTTCTTCCACTTCCTTCCATCTTCAAGCTTTTTGGAGTTGGGTAAAAAAAAACTCCTGAACACGGGTGTAGGGCTCCATTCCTATGCACTGTGGAAATGGAGCTCCATGGAGTCCTACTGAAAGGCCTCAATGAGACTCCCATAGGGCTCTGTTTCCACAATGCATGGAAACAGAGTCCTCCACAGGTCTGATGAGGTCCTCAGAAGTGACTTTTGAAGGGTATGAGAAATGTGTTTCCATCAACCACTTCCAGTGGCCCTTCCACACTGTCCTATAGCCCAGAATATCAAGGCAGAAAATCCCACAATATCTGCTTTGAACTGGATTATCTGAGTCCACACTCAGATAATGTGAGATTTTCTGCCTTGATATTCTGGGAAATAGGACTGTGTGGAAGGACCCTAGGAGGCTATTTCACAGCTTCTGGGATCAATTCCCCCTGCTTCAAATCCTTTCTCTTTGCTAAGGTTGACTTCATGTGCTGAAGGGACAAAGCAATAGACATCTAATGGACCTCTAAATAAACAAGAGTCATGTGCTCTTGGAATGGCACTCCATGGAGTCGTGCTGGGCACATGATTTTGAAGGTGTCTACAGACAACGTCGGTTCTTCGCCTTAGAAATAGAGATGAGCACCACCCCCAGAGTTGGAAACAACTGGACTTAATGTCAGGGAAACCTTTACCTTTACCTTACATGTGCAAATATTATTTTCTGAAGGAATCTTCCATGAAAAGTAAGACCTTGATCCCTAACTTTGGAAGAAAGGTGGGAATGATAATAATTTTATAACTAAGAATTTGAATAATTTGATTAAATGTTCCAGTAGTGCAATTTGCAGGATACAAGGAAAATAGAAATTAAGTTATTGGATCAGGTTTCGGTAAACAGGGGAGAGATTAAAGGGCAAATGCTGGAGAGGCCAAATAGCAAACAAGCAAAAGAAACTGAAAGATTTTGGTAGCTTGGTAAAGTGAACAGAATGCCAGACTTCTATTTAAAATGATCTCAAAGATGCGACTCTGTCAGTTTTTACAACTAAGTTTTTTTCTGGATTTTTTCTCTATTGTTTATTAATTTTAAATGTTCTTCCCATCCATATCAAATGTATACGTCAAAGCAAGTGTGCAATCTTTTTTAAAACACTCACATACACAAATTAAAAACACAATAAAAAGTAAACCAAATGATATAAATCAAAACTTGGTTACAAAACAAAGGAACAGGAGATCATATCATTGTAATAGCACAAGAAGATGATGTGGAAAGTTGAATTATACAAATATATGAGCATGTGGTATTGGCTTTATTTTTGAGTCTCCTTCGATTTTTGTTCCTTGCACTAAGGCTGTAGTGAAATCATTTTTTTCTTTATAACAATGCATTTTTTATTCTGCTTCCTTTGCTAAACCTTCGTTCATGCCTTGGTCATTCCCTGTCTTGATTATTATAATTGCCTTTTAACTGGTCTTCCATTATCTCCTGTGACTTCCATCCAACATTCCCCCCTACTACCAAGATTACCTGTTTGGCCTCTCATTTCAATCATATTACCCCACTTTCGATATCTCTTCATTGGCTAAAGGTAAGGTAAAGGTTTTCCCCTGACATTAAGTCCAGTCGTGTCCCACTTGGGAGGTTGGTGCTCATCATCATTTCTAAGCCCAAGAGCCAGCATTGTCCGTAGACACCTCCTTCAGCATGACTACATGCCTCTCATTGCTTTTACAATGTACAAGCTTCTTGTTTCAATTCCCAAAGCCTTAAATAACCCAACTTTCCCCTTTCAGCCCTTAGTTCTTTTTACCAGTTGCTTGAGACTGCATTCTAGAAAGCCTAGTCTCTGCATCCAACCAAAGGTTTCGTTTTCTTTGGCTGGGCTTCATCTTCAGTCGCACATTCCACCCCCTCCCCACCCCCCAGTTTGCTTTATATTATAATAATAGTTTATTTATAACCCGTCCTATCTTCCCGGGGGACTCTGAGCAGTTTCTAACAATATAAACACAATAGCAAACATTCAATGTATTGTGGGTGAAATATCAAGAGAGAATGCTTCTGGAACATGGCCATACAGCCCAGAAAACTCACAGCAACCCAGTGATGCTGGCCATGAAAAGTCTTTGACATTCAATGTATTTTATATTGTATTGTTGAAGGCTTTCATGGCCGGAATCACCGGGTTGTTGTATTTTTATATTTTACTAGCTGTCACCTGCCACCAATTGCTGTGGCCCAGCCTGTGTATGTGTGTTTTGTGTGTGTGTATATGCATATATATGTGTGTATATATTTGTGTATATGTGTATATATGTGTGTTTGTGTATATCTGTGGTTTTGTGCATGTGTTGTAATGTATTGTTGTTTTTTGGCTTTTTAAGTCTCTTCTGCTGTGTTTTTTCAGTATTTTTATGAGTGATGCTCACTCGTTGGCCTGATGTGTGTATCGTGTCCAAATTTGGTGTCAAATTGTCCAGTGGTTTTTGAATTATGTTAATCTAACTAACCTTACATTTTTATTTATATAGATATGAATAGTTTGTTTTACAATGGTTTGTATAGTTTTATATTTTTATTATTCCTTCTCTACGAATACAAGATGTGTAGTGTGCATACATACATGTTTTTAGACTGCACAACTTATGACAGGACCTATATTTTTAGCTGGTTTACTTGTAAAGTGCCATGTACATTGGTGGTGCTATATAAACAATCTCTCTCTCTCACACACACATGAACACACCATCAAACGCCTCCATGAACATATAAGACTACACAACTGGAGAAAAGGAAACCTGTGCCAAGTCATTTAACGACAACAAGCAAGGGAAAAGCAAATAGGAAATTGTAAATGTCACACATACATACATATTGTCTCTTTACCTAAATTAGGAATACATAATCAGAATAAAACAATTAAAATTGCTTCAATATAAAAGCCAGAATCATAGGTAATACACAGCATGCCTTCTCCTTTATATATCTAACTTCATCAGCTCTCCATGATCCCACCCCACCGCAGCATTTTATTACCTGGATGGCTCCACTGGCAGCAAACTATAGTTCCAGCTGGCAACCTGAGCTGCTATATAGTGCTCTCTGATCCGGGCTGCTAATACACTGGAATTCTGCAGACCTGTCCAGCTAAAGCCCAGGAACATCAAGAGGAGACACTTAGGAAGAGATGCCATGGTACAAGTTCCCAATGATGCTGCTGTGCTGGGAGACACATGGGGCTTGGGCAACTCTTACTGCTGCAGCTTGCAAGTTCCCCAGAGATTCTTCAGTTGTGGGTGTTGCAAGGGACAGCGGCTTTAGTAATGCCTGGGTCGTTGCTCTCCTCCTCCTCCTCCCAGTGCTGACAGGTTCCCAGAAGAGATAAGCAGCAGCTGAATTGGATTTGTTCTCCTCCCTCCTGCGGGGCTTTGCTTCTTCTGATGGCCAATGACTGGCCAGTCTACAAGGCAGGGCAGGAGGCTTAGTTGTACCATTGACCACATGAGCTGGAAGGTATTCAAGGCAGTGGCAAGCTCTTCTATGGTCTGCAGGTACAACAGCCTTCTTCACCAAAAATGTAAAGAACACACAACTGAAGGCAACAAATGATCCCCCAGGCAGCAACCAGCCTGGCTTTGAAGCTGCAAAGGCATTCAATGCTAATCAAGGTAGCTAATTGCAATATCCACACTCAAGCAGACAAGAGTTCTTTCTCCCACCCTGGGCATTCAACAGATATATAAACGTCACTTGCCTAATTTCCAACAGATCTCACCACCTCTGAGAATGCCTGCCATAGATGCAGGTGAAACGTCAGGAGAGAATGCTTCTGGAAAATGGGTATACAGCCCGGTAAACTCACAGCAACCCAGGCCATTTTCTAAACCAGGGATGGGCAGCTGTGTCTGGTTTGTTGCCACTTGCAATATTGCAAGAACCCTTGCATTGGGTCGCCGTAAGTTTTTCAGGGTGTATGGCCATATCCAGAAGCTCCGAAAAACTTTTTTTGTTGTTTATTCGTTCAGTCGCTTCCGACTCTTTGTGACCTCATGGACCAGCCCACGCCAGAACTCCCTGTCAGCCGTCACCACCCCAAGCTCCTTTAGAGTCAAGTCAGTCACGTCTAAGATACCATCCATCCATCTTGTCCTTGGTTGGCCCTCTTCCTTTTTTGGCCATGAAAGCCTTCGACAACACAACCCTTGCAATATTGAATGATAAAAAAAAGAAATCCCAAAGCTACTGGAAGTCTAGTTTTGAATCTCACATTTATTTTTATTTCCTGTTAAACAGTCCATGGGGGTCTTGTATCTTGTTTAGAGACCTTAGGGACAGCAATTTATCCCTTTGCCAATGAAAAGGTCAGTTTGGGATTTCTGGAAGTGTCAACGGTCACAAAATCATCATTGGGGGCTATGCCTTGCCCATCTTTGCTTTACACAGTGGTCTGAAGGCGAAAGGAGCGTTTTGGCTGCACAATTGCTAATGCAAATCATTGCTGATAAAGTTCAGAATTGAACTTAAAAGGTCACCACACACCATTCTGTGGGCCCAATTTATAGAAGATTTAATGAGACTGAATCTTTGTCTTTTCTGTACCCAACACCCCTTGATGATTGTTTGTTTTCTCAGAGGAGTCTGAATATTTACAAGGAAATATAAATTGTGAAGTACTTTCTGTTCAAGTTGCCAAAACACACACTTGTGGGAGAACAAGACGATTTCCAGAGAAATGATTACTTGCAGCCATGGTAAACACGATCAGATATGTGACTCATCCCCAGCTTCTTCTTTTTTTTTACTATAGCTTTCAGTAACACTATTCCGCATAGCCAACTTTAGCCATGACAGCTGATTAATCGTGGGAACTGTTGTCTGTAAAGAGCAGCTTTTACAAGTCCTGCATCAGCATGACAGTACTTTATAATTCCCTAAAACATAAAAACAACAACCGTGCAACATTTTCTGTTGGTGCTCAGAAAATCAATTGGGACTGCAGCGTGCCCACAGAGCACATTCAGTTCTGGCCAAAGGGGGAAAAGATAGCTTTCTTTCCTCCCTGTCATTTTGGCAAACAGAAAGAAGTTAATATTTATCAAGCACTGTCAATGTAGGACTTTTGAAGGAACATATGTATGTGGATTGCTCTAATTAAAAAAAAAGTAGTCCTTCCAGTTTACAAAAGTATTTTAAGAGCGAAGAAAATTACTAGAAGCGCTGGTTGAGCAGGCAAAGACCCCTTCCGTTACTGTTTTTGAAGACTTTCACACAGCAATACATGTTGAACTGAATACACACATCAGTCCATATACTGAGGTTCTTAAATTCTGCTGTTGGTAGTCTTCAAATATATGCGTGTCACCCAGATGTTGGACTACAGCTGTCACTATTCTTTGCCACTGACTGTATGGTCTAGGGCTGTGATCCAGCAAGGTCTGGAAGGGCATAGTTCTCTATCCCTGGTTTAGGTCAAACTTTTGGCCGGCATTCATCACACTAGTGAAAAAATCCACTTTAAATTCGGTTTCTACCTTCTGCAGAATTCTGGGGTTTGTAGTTTAGTGAGGCTATTAAATTCTGCAGGAGGCAGCAACTGGATTTAAAGTGGATTTTTTCTCTAGCGTGATGAGGCTTATAGGAATATAAACCTGTTGACCTCCATGGAAAAAAGGTCTATTGACCTGGAGCATTAATCTGCCTTAGCATTTGCTCCACTTATTTCACTGATCATGAAATGATTACAGTACTTCCTTGCCATGGTAGAAGCAGTGCCATAAGATTTTTCCTCATCATTCCATTAGAAGACATCTAAAATGACGATTGTTTTCACATATTGCAATGCATCTTCTATTGACGTTAGTTGCCAACTAGGTGGAAGACAGCTGTTTCCTCTTTTTTTCAAGCTGCAAGTAGAGGGAGAAGGGGCCAATTTCCTGGAATCCTTCTCTACAGTCAGCATTCCTTTGAGTAACCTCACTTCCTAATTCAAAGAAGCTGGTCTGGCTTGAATAGGAAAGAAAAGGGGCTCTTGGGTTGCTGTGAGTTTTCCAGGCTGTATTGCCAAGTTCCAGAAGCATTCTCTCCTGATGTTTTACCCACATCTATGGCAGGCATCCTCAGAGGTTGTGAGGTCTGTTAGGAACTAGGCAAATTGGGTTTATATATCTGTGGAATGTCCAGAACTCTTGTTTGCTTGAGACAAGTGTGAATGTTGCAATTGGCCACCTTGATTAGAAATGAATGTCCTTGTAGCTTCAAAGCCTGACTGCTTCCTGTCTGGGGAATCCTTCGTTGGGAGGGGTTAACTGGCCCTGATTGTTTCATGTCAGAAATTCCCGTTTTTTGGGTTTCCTCTTTATTTACTGTCCCAATTTTAGAGTTTTTTTAAAAAAAAATACTGATAGACAGTTTTTTTTAAAAAAAATCATGGTTTCCTCTTTTCTGTTGAAATTGTCCACATGCTTGTGGATTTCAATGGCTTAGATGTGTAGTCTGACATGGTGGTTGTTTACAGTGGCCCAGCATTTCTGTGTTCTCCAATAATATTGCTGTGTCCAGGTTGGTTCATCAGGTGCAGATTTACATCATTTATTAGCTGCAGGGATGTTTGTTCTGGCCTTTTCACTCTCTCCACTACCATTCCTGACTGCTTCAACTTCATTTAAAGATATGTGATTTCCAGTGTGCCCTTATATGATTAGTCATATTTTAAGTAGTAAACAAATACACATTGTGGTTAGAATTCTGTTTCATCTAAGTTGTCAAATAAACAGATAGCTTTAATGACTAACACAACTGGACTGTTTTTACACTGTGTCATAAAGAAAAACAAAACACCTCTGTACTCACAGAACAGGAATGAAAGTGATTTATTTTTACACATAAAGGTCTTTATTAAAAAGTAAGGCTGGTAGTGGAATTTGATGTGGATGCATAAACTTGATAGAAGTGGTACATTACAGGAATTGTATACAATGGTGGATCAACAAATGAGTCACATGTACGGGTTAATCTTTTTAAAAATTAGGATCAATAATTACCATAAACATTCCCTCCCACAGTTACATTGTAAAGTGTCTTGTGTAGTCATATTCTATTGTGGGAATGACTGCTTGTACAAATTTCAAAAAAATTAGAAGGTACCTGATTGTTTCATTAAGGAAAATAAACCCGACAGATTCACAACTACAAGTCTGGTTGGAACTGCAAGGCCAGAAAGCAACCTCTCCAGCATCTCCCCCCTACTGAGAATCCAGCACTACTTTATCTCATAGGAAAAATCAAGATAACACTAAGTATAGTACAATAATTGTATAGGCAATGTAGAACTTTCCATTGTGTAGACAAGTCTGCTTGACAATTAGTTTTTATTAGTTACTGCTACTAGTGAAACATTTGGATATTTGCTGAACAATATACATATTCTTTTGAAGATTCTCTCCTCTACCATTGTTTCTGTTTATATGCTTGTAAGGGTTGACACAGGACTAGTCCAGTTCTGGTCAAGAGGAATAGAAACCTTGGACTGACTGAAGAGTTCCTAGATGGTAGCATCTAATGACATTCACCAGCAATTATGAGCTTAAAATGAATCCTGAAACTTTTTCTAAAGCAGTTCTTCATCCTTTCAGTTAACACTATCCCAAGTGCAGCTATCAACCTGTATTTTAAAGTCACTGGAGATGCATGGAACAGGGAAGAAAGAGTTTAGAGCCAATATGTTGTACTTTACCTGGATGATGTCGGAAGAATAGAAGAATTATGAAAGGTACATTTTACTGAAGCAGTAGTGAGATTTTATAAAAGGATACATATGAACTCCGAGTTCTCCGCCACCTTCTGCCACCGTTTCAATTATTTTCTTCATTACTTCTGCATGCCTGAAAACAAAACTATTAATTTATCCATGACCATCAATGAACACTTGAGTAAGAATAAATTTCTGTGTAGTAGCCCTAGCTTTTAATTCAGTCCCAGAAGTCTTGAAGCCAGCATTTCAATGGTGATTGGAAACAAATAGAAAGAAGTGGGACCAAAAGTGCCGCCTTTCTACTTAACAGTTTTTGACTCGGTTGGCATTCGGAAGAGTAAACTCCAGGAAATACTAGATATGGCAGGCTATAATCAGAGGAAGGCAATGGCAAATGTAATCTGAGTATCCTCTATCTGCTTCAAGATTCATAAAGTAGCTATAAGTCAATAGGCAATGCGTAGGCCAGTGTTTCCCAACCTTTTATTGACCACACACCACTTGGCCAGGGACCACTTTGACCAGGAACCACAGTTGTACCAAACGGGTTATGAATCAATTTTAGATTCAGTTTGGTTATTTGGGGTGCTGATTAAGTACATTGCATTGAATAGACCACATCAGCTCCAGTTTCTGATACAGAACATATGCCATCCAGTAGTCACCATCTGCTCACCCACAGGACACCATATTTAATAATCTAGAGCTGA